TGTTTGGGAAGCAAACTCGGGTCAGCTTCTCGACTGGCTCACATACGACGAAGGGCACTCTCGACTACATCCATTCAGATTTGTGGGGACCTGCTCAGGTTCCATCCAAAGGTGGTGCTCTTTATTTTCTGACGTTTATTGATGATTTTTCCAGGAAAGTTTGGGTTTACTTTCTCAAGCGCAAAAGCGAGGTGTTCGAAACTTTCAAGAAGTGGAAAGTACTTGTTGAGAATCAAACTGGAAAGAAGATTAAACGTCTCCGAACAGATAATGGCCTAGAGTTCTGCAGTGGTGAGTTCAATCAGTTCTGCTCAAATTCTGGGATCGTACGACATCGCACGGTCAGGCACACTCCTCAGCAAAACGGGGTGGCAGAACGCATGAATAGAACGTTGATGGAGAGAGCTAGGTGTATGCTCTCAAACTCTGGCTTGGATAAAGGCTTCTGGGCTGAAGCTGTTAACACAGCTTGTTACTTAGTGAATCGGTCTCCTTCTACAGCCATTGAACACAAGACTCCAAATGAGGTATGGTCAGGTAAACCAAATGACTATTCAAATTTAAAGGTATTTGGATGTCCCGCTTACTATCATGTTAGAGAGGGTAAGCTTGAGCCTAGAGCTAAGAAATGCATATTTATTGGTTATGCTGATGGCGTTAAAGGCTATCGTTTGTGGAGTCTTGAACCTGATTCTCCTAAATTCATTATTAGTAGAGATGTTACTTTTAATGAAAGATATATGCTTGATCATGGGAAGGTTTCTGTTGAGTCTACAGGAAATGTAGAGAAGACCATGGATAAGGTGGAGCTTCAGGTGGAGCTCGAGGGAGAGACGTCTCAAAAGCCGTCTATAAAATTTGCTCCTACAGCTGTAGAAGAGCAACATGATTCAGGCTCAGATGCTGATGATGCTGAGACTGAAGAACCTTATTCCATAGCCACTGGCAGAGAGAGGAGACAGATCAAACCTCCTCAAAGATATGCACATGCTGAATTAGTGGCGTATGCTCTCACGACAGCTGAAGAGATGAGTATTCAAGAGCCATCAAACTTTACTGAAGCTGTCTCATGCGGAGAATCTGGACGTTGGGCCACAGCTATGACAGAAGAACTCGAGTCACTCTACAAGAATCAGACTTGGGATTTGGTGCAATTACCTAAGGGTAAAAGGGCAATTGGATGCAAGTGGATTTTCAAGAAGAAAGAAGGGATCCCAGGGGTTGAAGATGCTAGATTCAAAGCACGGTTGGTGGCTAAGGGTTATAGACAAAAGGAGGGAATTGACTATGATGAAGTGTTCTCTCCGGTTGTGAAGCATACCTCCATCCGTGTATTGCTTGCCATGGTTGCTCTATTTGATCTGGAGCTTGAGCAGCTTGATGTGAAGACTGCATTTTTACATGGCGAACTTGAGGAGACTATCTACATGTCTCAGCCAGAGGGATACTTCGTAGAAGGTAAAGAAGATCAAGTTTGCAGATTGAAGAAATCTTTGTACGGCCTGAAGCAATCTCCCAGACAGTGGTACAAGAGGTTTGATAATTTTATGCTTAGTCATGGGTACTCAAGAAGTACTTATGATAGTTGTGTGTACTACATGCATCTAGGAGATGATTCTTTTATTTATCTTCTATTATATGTCGATGACATGCTTATTGCTGCTAAGAACATGTCGCAGATTCTTATTTTGAAGAAACAACTCAGTGATGAGTTTGAGATGAAAGATCTTGGTGCAGCAAAGAAGATCTTAGGTATGGAGATCAGGAGGGACAGGAAAGCTGGAACTTTATATCTCTCACAGAAGAGTTATATTGAAAAGGTGCTTGAACGCTTTGGGATGAAGAAGGCCAAGCCCGTTACGACTCCTTTGGCTCCTCACTTTAGGCTCTCGGCTTCAGATTCACCTACAAGTGAGAACGAGAAGAAGGAGATGTCCCGAGTTCCATACTCCAATGCAGTGGGTAGCATAATGTATGCTATGATTTGCACTCGTCCAGACATTGCCCAGGCAGTCAGTGTAGTGAGCAGATACATGGCTCAACCAGGGAAGGCACACTGGGAAGCAGTAAAGTGGATCCTTCGGTATCTCAGGGGTACCTCAGATTTGGGTTTAGTTTTTGATAGCAGTACTTTGGGAACCTCAGTTGTAGGTTTTGTGGATTCTGACTATGCAGGTGATCTCGATAAAAGGAGATCTTTGACTGGTTATCTTTTTACTCTTTCTGGCTCAGCTATTAGTTGGAGATCGACTCTACAGTCGACAGTTGCCTTGTCTACTACAGAGGCAGAATACATGGCAGCAGCAGAAGCGGTAAAAGAGGCCATTTGGTTGAGAAATCTCGTGAGGGAGCTTGGACTTCTACAGGAGGCTAGTTCGTGAGTGAGCTTGGACTACAGCAGGAGGCTAGTTCAGTTGTATTTTGCGACAATCAGAGCGCAATACATCTAAGCAAAAACTCAGCACATCATGAGAGGACAAAGCATATTGATGTTAGATATCATTTCATTCATGAGGCAACTGCTGAAAGAAACATCACGATGAAAAAGATAGGTACTGCAGACAACCCAGCTGACATGTTGACCAAACCGATCCCGGCCTTCAAGTTCAAGCACTGCTTGAATTTGGGAGGCATTCGCACTTGTTAAGTGGCCCCTTTTGGGGCATTGTTTGCAAGATGGGTGAAGACTCACTAGTTATTGGTGTCGGCTCAGTTTTTTGGGAAAACTTCACCGAGGTGGAGATTGTTAGTCATTGTTAGTCAACAATTGAGGCCAACAAAACTTTCGGTGGCCTCAATTGTTGACATCAAGAGAGAGGGGGAGGTGCAGCCTCCGTTGTTGACATCAAGAGAGAGGAGGTGCCGAATTTGTTGACAAAAGAGAAGGCATGGAAGCTATAAACCCCCCCTCTCTTCCTCTGTAAAACACACTCCAAAACTCCAAACCAGCAGAGAGTGATTGAGAGAAAAAGAGAGAGAAAGCCACACAAGAAATCTGTGAGCTCTCAATATTTTGTATGAGTGTTGTATGTTGAGATTGAATATAGTGATACACCCTCTTGCCGTGGACGTAGATCAATTTGATCGAACCACGTAAATATTGTGTTTGTGATTGTTCTATTCTCTGGTTTAGTGGGTAATTTCCCCAACAATATATATATCCAAAATCAAATTTACATCCAAGCTAGAAAAATTTATGCCCTCCTAGTTAAGATAAAATTAAACTTTAGGAATGCTTTAATCTATGCGCATGATTCCAATTGCATTTTCCAATGTAGAGAATTCTTCTCCATAGAAACTAGAAGCTCTCATAACAGATGCAGCCAAAAGCAACACACAAATCAACAAAACAGAATAATTGTTTGAGTCTAGCTTAAGTGACTTGTTAAATTTCCAATATTACATTAGGCTGATTTTTTGCATTTATTGATGAATGCGTCAATGACAAACAAGGTAGAAGATAAGCCAGTAAATTAGATGTGCGTGTAAATTTATTTGCATTCATATAATTTCACTAGCCATGAGATTGACAGATTAGATAATTAATGATGTATAGTGGACATTGCAAATTGGCCGGGCCAATACTACTCCTCCCTATTTTCCATGCTAAAAATTTTATCTTTACATGTTTGTGTATAACAATTAAATCTATTCAGATGAACTGAAATAGATCACTCAGTGAGACCCACCCCCGCCCACACCCACCCACCCACCCACAGCCACTCAAAAAAAAAGACTTTATATTAAGAAAAAGCAAATAACTATTTGAACTCTTGCTCAAATCACCATTACTCTATGCACATGTGAGCGTACTCCAAACAAGTCCTTTTCTTTGTAGCTAATTTAAATAGTACAATATAAAAAAAAAGACATAAAAACCAGACGTTTTAAAGCAAATTAAAATCAACTAACACGTACGCTAGCATTACATACATTGAGACAACCTAACAAGCTAACTAGACAATTTGAGATATTAACAACTAATAATGTACAAAAGACAGGGAATCGCCTTAATTATGAGATCCGACATCAAATTAAAGCCTAGAGATTATAAAACAAAGATTATTTAAACTAAGAACCAAATTAAGTACGTATCTATTACCCAAGTCCGATGGCCACCTCCCATGCATTTAATGCTCACATGTTGGCTTCAACACCACTCCTCTCTTCACTTGTGTTTCAAGGGAACCTTGAAAATAGAAAATTAAGGAAAAAACGGAGGATGAATTTTCGGGAATTTGTAAACAAATGAAAGAAAACAGACATCTTTTTCGGTAGCTTAGAGAGGGGGAGAAGAGAGGAGAGACATGCGAGCTCCAATGCAAACTAGCATTTAATGCCATCCGTTGTGTGTAGATTCGTTTTGGGTGAAGAGGACAGAGACTCTTCTGTTTTCATGTTTTGGTTTGTTTAGAGACAGAACGGAGAGAGAGAGGTGATTAGAATTTAGGGATTTTTGCTCCTATAAACCCAAAATTACCCGCACTTGTTTTGGTACCCGTGCATTCCCCATATATATATACCCAAAGTGCAACATTTTCTTACGTCTAAACCAAAATGTAGAATACAAAGTGTATGGTCTAGCTATATACAGTAGGGTGTGCAAGTCTACGCCCTAGAGTACGTGGATGTACTCCATATAGTATGTAGCTGTACACCCGTAACTCCACTGTGTATTCTATATTTGAGTTTACAAAGGTAAATAAAACTTTGTGCTTTGGGTGCAACTGACTGGGTTCTAAAGTAAATCCGGGGGAACTTTGGGTTTAGAAGGAAAAAGACCCTAGAATTTAAAAGAGAAGAGAGAATGGACAGAAAGTATCTAAGATGCCAAAGTACACCGGCGAACAGAGCGGCGCACGTGTTGGGTTACTGACTGGTGTCATTCAGCCTATATGTAGAATTCTTTGCATAAATTAAAGAAAATTGTCTTGTATCTTTATTATCGTGTTATTAGAGTACTGTACTGTTTCTACCCTCCTATTATACAAATTCTGTAATAGAAAGAAATATAAACTCAGGTTTTTGTTTAGCATAGAGTTTGTAGTATAGTTATCATTGCCCTTTACAAAAGGATTCAGCATAAATGCGTCCATTAAGATTGCCCATAAACTTGTATTCATCATTTGCACTTGAATTTTAACAAAACCTCTGCACAAAGTTCTCCGGATCAAATATTCCATTGCTGTCCCAGGCCACAAAGCATCTCTAAGTCATCAGATTGCTTCAGAATCGCCGCTACCTCCTTACTCTTTGATCTTGAAGGACTGTTGTATTCTTTTGTACAGGAGCTTCTCACGCTTTAATGGGAAGAAATTCAAGAGATTACAGATCTCAAGCTCAACACACAACTCAAAAACCCCCACACACACAAAAAAAAAAAAAGATGACAATATTTATAAATAAAAAGAGAATATCCTCAATGCCCCTTGCCCTTGGGTAAAACTCTCTGTAATCTTCCTCTATGTGACAAAATTGGCTCTTGTATTAGTCAGCTTACCGATGTGACACAAGAACCCATATTTTCATGCAATACAATTTGAAAATAGTGTCAATCTCTGCAGTCTAGCCAATAAGTTGCCTAGTAAATATTCCGTTTCCACCCCCTCAGAAACGTAAGCCTACACAATCATATCTAACTTATTCTTCCAGTTCTGCGTGCGAACATATGACTTAAATACGATCGAACTATCCAATTTAATCTTCTAGCGCTTTATTATACATGCATGTGTGGATGACAAGCCACCGAACTGCATGATCTATCTTATCCAATCTCAAGATATTGACATTACCATAAGGGCAATAAATCATTCATGGAGAAAACCATTTCGAAACCTTCATTTGACGAAACTCTGTTACCATGAATGGGATGTCTAACATTCAGTAAACTTCATATCTAAGGATGAAAATCCATGTGCACAGGCAAATCTCGTCTGATTGTACAAGTACATGCTTCTCACCATCTATCCAAAATTTACTCTTAGAAGAGGCGCAAATATAAACACCAATTAAAACAATTCAAGTTCTATTAGATGAAAATCAAAAAGAAAAGAACTTGATAACTCTCGATTATCCTCATAGTATGCAGGGGCAAAAAAAAAAAAACAAAGAGTAAGTGGATAACGCTCCAACCGATGGGGATCTCACTGGATGGCACTAATAGACCTTACAAGGGACCTCTTCTGCAGGTCCTGCAGGTATTAAGCAGAACATTGTTCCTAAAATAGAAGCATTTTCACAAAGCTTCATTCTGAGGTTCCACCTAGTATACTTCTATCTTTTTTGAACAGGTCACTTTCTTTTTTGTTAGTGTGAACATGAGAAAGGAAAATATTCTTTCAACATGAAAGCACGGTTATCAGGTTTTTTAAGATGTTGAATGACTGACTGACAAGGTAAAAGGACTCGCCTTAACCTGAGCATACACCCTGTAAATGAACATAAAGGAATGTAATAGTTTGTTAATATGATTCATTGAAGGAGAAAAAACCACCACTCACCTGAAAAAACTCAAAACCAACCAGCATACTGGAGATTACATCCGTCTGCTTCTATAAAAAACATAGACAACTCAAATTAATCTCATATTCAGGAAGTTAAGATCCATTCAACTTCAGAATGAAATAGAAAATAAGTTCCTACAAGGCTACGATAATAGGCAAAAACCAACCTTAGGCTCCTGTTTTCAGTACAAGCCAAGAGATTGAAAGGAGTTACTGCTAGAGATCGTCCCTCATATTATATGATAATCGGACATTCTTCAATATGGACAGGAACAGTGACCACCATGCTGGTATCTATCAGGCCCTGAACCTCCACCACCATCTCCACAACCACCTCCTCTACCACCCCTACACCACAAAAATAGAAGAAGAGAGAGAATATAAGAAAATGGCCAGAAACAAAAATAAGCTCTAGAATAATATGAGCAGTAAAATGCATTCGCTTCTACATTACATCTAGATCCAATGAAAATTGAATCATGGATCATCAATTTACGACTTAATAAGACAGCACAAATGCCAGCAATGGGTTATTTTAATCTTGTTCCGGCTTTCTCTACTTTGACACGAGTCTACAAGACTGCAAGAACTCCTCGTATGGATTTATGATGAGAAAGGGACCTATTATCCACCAATATCTGCATTTATGGAAGGAAGTAACGCCATCTCTGGCTGAAGCTCTAAAACCTTACTTACAGTAACTACTTTAACATCGACAAATTTGTTCACATGATAACAAAATAAGATCCCCCCACCCAAAAAACAAAAAAAGATGGAAATGGAATGTTTCTCCTCAGAAAAGTGGGGAAAAGACAACCATTTAATTGCTACTAAAAGGTACCACAGGTATCTGTATTAAGACTTAATATTGAAGAAAAACACGGTAATTCCCTGGTAGCATTGCTCCTAAAGAATGTCTACAAGGGTTTGTAGGTAAGGGTTTAGTATTGAAGAAAAATCGCCTCTGATATGCACTAACTAGCTGAATAGTCGAACCACATCCCAGGTCACATAAGCGCTTGCAGTAACTTTCAGATTGACATGGCCTATATGGCTATATCACATGCCACAATGGACTGAGCAAAAAAACTTATTTTGCATAATAGACGAAAGGACAGTGCAATAGTACCACCCAAGGGCTCATATCAACTTGAAGAAAGGGTAGAAACTTCTGTGAATAATAATTCTATGCAGCTTTTGACAATTATTATTGAATATATGCATCAAGAACCATAAAATTCTGCCGGTGGGAACGTGAATGATTCGAGCAATAAATTTGCTAAAGGGCATTATGTGAGAGTAATAAAAACTACAACATATTAAAACCAATGGCACATACCAGCCAACTTAATCTATAAGATAAACTGAGATCAATTGATTTCAACAAACGGATCGGTCATGAACACCATATGGAACAAGACATTAAAAACATCGGACACAGTAAGAGCAATAAGAGGGTACCTATGACCATATGCAGGTGGAGCTCTAGGTGTAGTTTCTACCATTATAACATTGATGTGATAGCCCCTCATGTCTTAGTCTGGAATAGTCAAGCGGGACAATGAAATGAAATTTCACAGCATAGCCTACAAACAAACAAATTGTTCAGTAAAGACTCACTATTGTAGAAGCATAGCCTGAAAACAAACAAATTGTTCAGTGAAAACCCACTATTGTAGAATCCCCTGCAAAACGTTCTGCAGAAGGATCTTCATAAGCAAGACAAACATCTCCTTTATTGTTTCCACTATCAACAGTATAATATCCTTATATCCCATGGCCATTGGTCCATGTACACTCTTTTCATCTTGATCCTTCCAACCTAATGAAGGACAAAGAATATTAGAGCACTCTGAGATGATGTAATATACTCAGTGTGCAATTAAAAAGAGGACATAAATAGCACCTTTTTGAAAAGTGGGTTACAAAATTATAGAAATGATGTCAAATATAAGTAAGCTTTAATAAAAAGAACAATGAAGGTCCAAACCACAATTAATACAAGCTTGGCAACTATTAAGTTGTTACTCTACCACTATGTTACCTAGGTACTTCTAATCTGAAGTCATACCCGTACCTGTACCCAAACTCCTTGGAGACTCCTTGCATATATGCATACATTTATTCAGGCATGTACTCAATTATACAATAGGTATTTTAATCTAAAACACTTGTCATACATTATTTTGGACATATTCTACACTTCACATCCACTTCTTGAAACTCGTTGGACATATGTCAGGTTCCGAATTATAATTTTAAGGGTCTTTTGGATGTCTAGTTAAAAAACTAGTCATTTTCTAATTTACAATCCACATGATAAAAGAAACATAAAATGTTATAGGAATTTTAATTCTCATCCTTGTTCTCACATAAATATTAATTCTAATATATAATATATGTTTATATAAATATTTATATATCCGTGTCCCATACCCTAACTTTTAGAAATTTGCTGTCCCATACCCGTACCTGTGCAACATAGCTCTACCAAGAGTGATCAACAGAGTTTTAAGACCAAAAGCCGACATGGAGCTCATAGCTAGCTTACTGATCCTTCAATATCCAAATCAAAGATTGGTAGTTCTTTCTGAAAAAGCTAGAAGTTTGAACTTGTGGTATTCATATGAGGTTCAACATTCCATATCTTTCGCTAGTGACTGACGAACCTCTTGAATAACAACCTCTGAGCTAATGGCACGTTTCCCTAATATTACAAGTCAAAAAATCTTGAAGGACACACACAACATACATAGACATGTCTACATGCAAGCAATAAACAGATCTATATCACAAAAAAGTGTGTGAACATGATTAGTAGTATGTTTGGCAAATGGTGACTTAGAGCATCTCCAACAGCTTCCCCATTTCTCACGTTTAGGGAATTTAGTTAGGTTTTTGGCCCAACAGATTCCCCATCTTATTCCCCAAAATAGGGATGGAGGTGAAAAAATGGGGAAGCTTCCCCAAATCTGCAGCATTCTCCAAATTTTTGGAGGAAAAAATAGATTCTTCACCCAAATCTGCAGCATTCTCCAAATTTTTGGAGGAAAAAATAGATTCTTCAAAATGGGGAAGCTGTTGGAGTTGGTGTAAAAATTAGTTGTGGAGGAAAAAATAGATTCTTCAAAATGGGGAAGCTGTTGGAGTTGGTGTAAAAATTAGTTGGAGAATAGGACTTTTGCTTCCCCATTTTGAAGAAAATTTTGGAGAAGCTGTTGGAGATGCTCTTATAAGTCAGTTTAAGATGTTTGGTAAGTGGATTATTTTGGCTTATAATCCATCAAAAAATAAGCTAGGATACCCTAGCTTAATTTTCTGGTGGGTCATAAGCCATGGAGGTTTGACCAAGTAAAACACAATTATACCCCCTATGATTTTACAAAATCCAAGACCTCATTTCATAACTCACCACCAACTTCATGTCCTCTTTGGTCATTTTGGCAACAATAATGGATTGTAATCCACCTATTTTCCAAACACTCTACTAATGAAAATGGATTATAATCCACTAATTTTCCACAAACTCTAGATTATAATCCTTTCCAAACATGCTCTAGAGAACGAGCGGAGGTTTTACAGAGCACAGATGGCACGTGGGCGGCAACTTGTCTGTACAGGTGCATATAGTATCTACATGCAAGCAACAAAACATGAATCACAAAGAGCATATACCAATACACATAGCAAACTCCACATGATTTATTGGATCGTAAAATTCACCCTTAGTTTAGGAATGAGGAAAAGGTGGACAATTCTCGTTCCTTCAAAACATTTATCTGTTCTTCGACATATTAATTACTTATGGCTTATGATGTCAACAACTAGCCACCGCGGAATCAAGTTTAAAAAGAAAAAAAAAACTCATCCAAATGTTAAAGTCCAATGATATCAGTTCGAGTGTTTGAGCTAAAAACTCCAAATGCATAATCTTCCAAATTTTACCCACTTAAAAACACTTCTGGACTTCCCTCTAAAAAGTAATAAACAGATACACTACATATAAGGTGCCACCCTAGAGGGCTATACAGAAAAATCTATCGTTACAAACAAATTCAGAAGGAAATATCAATGTGTATTATGAACCTCTACGATGTTAATTATGCTTAAAGAGATATTCACATTTACATGTCTTGTTATAAAAATGCAACACAATCAAGTATTCTAACCAGCCAGCAGGAGGGAAATAGTGCAAAACATTCATTTTACAATATAGGATAACATGTACAGATGTTGCGTAGGGGACTGTATGGAGAAAGCGTTGTAAAAGAAAACAGGTGCGACCTCCAA